TAACTTTGTCATCTAGGGATTTACCAACAATTGAAGATTCAGAAACAACAGAGAAAGGCTAATGAAATGGTTGACAAAAAGGACTAGTGAGGTGGTGTCAAAACATGCATTTGGTACTCTGAATCCTGGAAGAACAGAGGTGCCTGAAACTGAATGCAGTAACAGTAATGTGAGCTCAGATGGTTCCAGTGAGGTTCCCACCATCGGCTCAAAATCGTCTTTGTCGTCGTGCCTGCTGCTGCATTCATCAAGCAAAGCGCGCCTTGGATGGATCCAACGGACTTGGCAGAGTCCACTGGATTCCCTCTCTTCCTCCGGAAATTAGTCAGGAAGCTGATCAATAATTCTGTTACACCAAATCTCATCTAGTGTTCTAGAGATAACTAACTAGTAGCAATAGTTTTCTACTCCGTCAACCAAAGGAGAAACAAAATTTCCCGCGGTGAAGAAGCGGATCCAAGGGTGGCACAGACTTTACTAAAGCCTTTTCTTCTTCTTCTTCTTGTCAAGAATCAATCACCTTCGCTCCCTCTCTGTTTCTATTTGCAAGAACCACATGAATAGGTCTTCCAAAATTAACACTAGGAGATAATCACTCAATGGAAAGACAAAATTAGCATGAAGAAATCCCAAGAAATTTTTACCATGCACAAAATAAATAAATGAGTTGAGTGGGGCAGATGGGGAGCTGGAGCAGAGGTGGAGGGGGGTTACTTTGGTGGGCTTGTCCATCACCATGGCCGGATGCACTTGCTTCGGGAGCTCCGATGGCTGTGGAGTGAGTGTGAGTGGGAGCCAGAGTAGGAGGAAGAAGACACTGGTAAATACTAGAGAGAGATACACAGCTAGCGTCCCTTCAAGCTTAGAGCATCTCCAGTCGCGCCCCCAACGGGCCCCCGGGGTGACTTTTTGGCGCCGGCGACGAAAAAAGCCCCAATCGCGCTCCCGAGATGCCGAAATTCGCTGGCTCGGTCCATTTTTGAGCCTGGCGATCCCAGGCCGAATCCAGCACGCTGGGGGGGTGCTCGGGGGCTTCGGCAGAAGGGAAAACACACCGACGAAAAATCAAGGAAATCGCCAGATTCGCCCCCCACCCCCGCGTGCTCGGCCACCACCCCTGTCGACCACGGCGCCGCCCACCGTTGAGCACCGCTAGATAGGCCATTCCCCGCCGGAAAGGGGAGAAGGTTTCGCCGCGACAACCTCTTCACCACCTGCCGGGCAAGTTGTCCGGTTCCCCGGCCACGCAGGGCAACATACCGGCGGCTGTGCGCCTACGACGCCCGCTAGGTGTTTGGCGATTTGTCCGCCCGGCCCGGTGATGGACTCGGACAACGAGGAGGCGCTCACGGCGTTGCTGGAGGAGGAAGCCGAAGCCGACGTCCAGGAGGAGGAGCATCTGATGGTCCTCACCGCCCTCGCGGGCCTGCTCGTGAATGAAAAGCCGCGGCGAGGTGGCTCGGCGCCAGGGCGGTTGAAAGCAAAGAACCGACATCATCTGGAACTGGAAGGCTACTGCATGCTCTACTCCGACTACTTCGCCGACGCTCCATTGCACAACGAGAAAACATTTCAGCGTCGTTATCGGATGAGCCGAAAGCTTTTCCTCAGGATTGTAAATTCCATCCGGGAGTTTGACAGCTACTTCAAATGCAAGAAGGATTGCACCGGCACACTTGGATTCACCTCAATCCAGAAGTGCACGACAACTACGAGGATGCTTGCATACAGAGCTCCCGGTGATTCACTCGACGACTATGGGTGCATGGCCGAGTCCATGACCATCGAGTGTTTCTACAAGTTCTACAGGGCAGTGGTGGCAGTGTTTGGACCGCAATACTTGCGATCACCCAATGCTAAAGACACTGCTCGGATCCTAGCACAGAATGCAGCAAGAGGATTTCCTGGAATGCTTGGAAGCATCGACTGCATGCATTGGAAATGGAAAAACTGTCCATTTGCTTGGCAGGGGATGTACAAAGGCACCAAAGGTTGTTTGCAGTGTGGTACTTGAGGCAGTGGCCACACATGAGCTCTAGATTTGGCACTCTTTCTTTGGGATGCTACAAACTCACAATGACATCAACATCCTGCAGTGCTCCCCTGTCTTTGCCAAGCTTGTTGAAGGTCATTCTCCTCCGGTGAACTTCGAGGTCAATGGGTGGCACTACAACAAGGTGTACTACCTAGTTGATGGCATCTATCCAAGATGGTCTGCATTTGTGAAGACTATCTCAAACCTTGTGTCAGGAGGCAAGAACTCCCACTTTGCGAAGGTTTAGGAGGCTTGCAGTAAGGATGTCGAGCGAGCATTTGGTGTGCTCCAATCTTGATTCGCCGTTGTCCGGTACCCTGCTCAGACCTGGTCGAAAGATCAAATGTGGGAGATCATGACCTGCCGTGTAATCTTGCACAACATGATCATTGAGAGCGAGCAGGAAGAGCCAGTGGCTGAACCATATTATAGGCAGGATTCTCTTGCGCAAGTTGATCACCAGCTACCGACAACCTGGACTGCCTTCCTCAATATGCGTCAGGAGATCCGAGACCCACAAGTGCATCAACAACTGCAACACGAAATCTGGTGGAGCACCTATGGAGGCTCAAGGGCAACGCCTAGCTTGACATGTGATGAAATAAGAGTTTTTATTTATTGAACTTATTGTTGAGCACCTATGGAGTTTTTAATGATTTTTGGTAATGAACTATGTGATAAAAAATTACTTGTGTTGAATTTGCGCCCAACCACGGCGAACAATAGCCGATTAGCGCCAATATCAGGCCGATTTGTCGCCGAAATTTGGCCAAAAAGCGGACACTTTGTGAAACATATGGGCCGATATCGGCGCTTGGGGGCGACCTGGGGCGGCTGGGAACCCAATCGCCCCCAGCGCCAATTTTTGCACCGGCTTGCCCTAGGCGGCGATTTCAAGCCTCCTGGAGGCCAACGGAGATGCTCTTACACGTGTAGAGCTCCCAACTATTACCACCGTCTTACTGCCTCGTGGTGTACTACTTGTCCAACATGCATTTTTCAATTATTACTTTTTGGCAAATCTAAGTCATGCAGATTTTCTTCCTGAGGAATAAACACCCTGAGCCATATCTCGCAGAAAAATCGATTCGGACCCTCGCATTGTCATCCCCAGGGCGGCCCGGGGACGACTAGGGTTCCCAGGCCTAAGTCTCGTCTCCATCTCCTGCGAGTCATCAGAGGAGGAGATCAGAAAAAAGCCCGCACAGTCACCGACGAAGGTGGCAGTGAGCCTTGCGTCGCTCCATTTCCCATGCGGAAGGCATCAGGCGGCTGGACGACAACCCGAGGATGAGGCGGTGGGTGTGGCCCGCAGGTGATGGTGGTTGGATCACTCGATCGCTTGGGTGGCGAGGTGTTGGTGGGCCGTGGTCGAGGCGAAGGGCCTTCTACGACTCCTGCCTCCAGATCTGAAGGTATGCCCCCCTCCCTCCTCTCTGAATCACTCCTCCTAGCTCATCAACACCGATGCATAATGGCCTCTGTCGCATGTCCTCTTGCTAGTGAGGTGATGGCAGTGCAGTTCTGGGTCGGTTGAAAACCCCTGACTGGATAGTTTGGCCATGGCAGCGGTGACACCCAAGGGTGCCACTTTCCTCCCTGGAGGAGTTGTGGAAAACCCTTCCTCACACATCCAGTGATTTGCTGAGCGAAAGGTCAAATTGTTTTGTGGATTGGTTGGCGACGACATTATGAGAGTCATGTTCTCCTTGGAGATGCCGTATAGGAAAGGTTGGTCTTGAATGAGTGGTGTGGAGGTGTCCGACTGCTTCGAGTTTCAAGTGGCGGTGGCGAGCGATGCCTTTTAAAAGAAAGGCCAGGCGCTTTCTATCTGGTGATGCTCTCTGGTACGACATGCGTTGTTATGTCCCAGCGGGTTGACATCTTCCTCCACGGGTGGACGGGGATAGGGTTTTCCTCCCCGATGGCAGCAGCTTGACCACGGCACTGAGTGCTTGGTCCCTTTCTTGTGAACGCCACTCGTGTTTTCAATATGTTTCCCGCCTAGAATGGGCCTCGATGTTCTTCTTTCGCCTTCTACGACGGCATAGTTGTCATCGGCGTGGTGTCCTTCATGCTTCGAGAAAGTCATTTTGTTGTGTTCTCTCTGTCTAGCCGCCCAGGCTGACCTCAAGATTGTCCGGACGCCTCGACTAGTCCAGCCAGGCGGCGGAGTCCTACATGTCGACCCAGTCGTCGGGGCCTGGAGGCAACGGGGGCTCCGGAAAAGACACATCTATGCGGGAGTTCAAGAAGCTTTCCGCATCGGCGAGCAGGCCGGGCAGCAACGCCAGCATCAAGGCAAGACTGTGGCGAGACCTCCTTCTCTCGCAGCTCCATGGACACCACCAGGCCCTCCTTGGGCACCACCGACCGCAACTTCACGTGCCACGGCTCCTTCTTGTTCGTCTTGCCACTGTTGGAGCGCACTTGCCAAGTGTTCGACGAAATGCATAAGCCAAGTGTAAGGTTTGCTCCGTTAAATTTAAGGGACCAGTTAGGCCATGTGTTGTTTGGGCGCCCAAAATGAAAAAGCTGCAAAAGCAGGACCAAAAGCCTTAAAAAACAGGGGCGTAGAAACGATCAAAACTTAGTGGAGTAAAAATACTCCACTAAGCTTTACTCCGGCCGGATACTTTTTTATTTTTTAGGGATCAGTTAAAGTTGGCCTTAGAAGATTTAGCATGCCCAAAACTCTTCAAAATTTCCAACTTCTCTATAGTCTAGAGGTTAGCCAAATTTTGAAATTACACAAACACAACCCTCCTTTTGAGAAGCCAAAGTTTGAAATTACACAAACACAAACCTTCAAAAGCCAAATTCCAGCCTAACCCAAACAAGGCAGCAAAAGATCCAGTCACAGCGAGGAAAGCAGAGAAACAGAGGGAGAGCTCACCGCCGTCCAGCTCCCCAGATCCACCGCACCCCGGCGAACATGGCGGCGGTTGGCGGCGACGCGGCGAGCATGGTGGCGGTGGGCCTGGTGTGGGGCGCCACCAACGCGCTGATGCGGCGGGGCGCGCTCGTCTGGGACCGCCGCTCCCGCTGCCTCCCCGCCGGCACCGGCGCCGTCCGGCGGTGGGCCGACCTGCTCCTCACGTGGCAGTACTCGGCGCCGTTCCTCGCCAACCTCTCCGCCTCCGCGGCCTTCTTCCGGCTCCTCGGCGACGCGCCCATCTCCGTTGCCGTGCCCGTCACCAACGCCACCACCTTCGCCGCCACCGCCGTCGCCGCCGCGCTCCTCGGGGAGGCCACCCGCGCCGCACCGGCCGCGCTCGGCACCGCGCTCATCCTCCTCGGCGTCTGGGTCTGCATCTCCTAGCTCGCTGACTCCCCGTCCCTTTCAAGGGTCCGACTGCATCTGCATCACTGTTTCTCATCCGTCTTCAATGTTGTCTGTAGAATTAGTTCGAATTTGGTCTACTTTTTGTAAATCTGTCAGTTCATAATATGTGCGTTTGATGCTGACATTTAGGCTGTTTCTCATTTTGGCCTTTAGCAATCTTGCTTATTTCAGGCCTGGTTAGGGAACTTTGGTAATTGTATCATATGGTGTGCTGAACAACATACGCGTTCACATAAATACTGCAGCATCTCAACTCATCAGTTCTCTGTTTCCCTGTTTGTGCCTTCTGAATCAGTTTGGTTTTTATCCAGAATCAGTTACCTACAAGAATGACTTTCTGAATGATCACTGTTTACCTTCCCTGTCCTCTTGTAAAATATGTTTGCCCTGTTCCCGGCATAGTCGTTTTGCCATGTGTCAAGTAAGCACAGATTGATGATGCCTAAAACTAATTATCCATTTGAGGTCCGACCTCGGTAATGGGCATTTCGTTACCGGCCTGACTATGGCTACATGCCCATGCAGAAGGTGCTTAGGTGTACTTGTTAATAAGAATGATGTTCATACTGTTGCAGGTCCATACTTGAATGCTCTGTTTTGGAGCAATCAGGGTACTATACCTGGTTACTCCTAGTTCATGGCACACAAGATCATGGCTGTGATCTGGGAGGGAGAAGTGTCTGCATGATTGCATGCTTAATCCTAGGGAGGTATGTTTCTCTTTTTCGAAGAAACACAAAAGCTTCACGTTTTCATGTACTGTTAGAAAAAGAGTCTATCTGCAACTCTAGTGATGCACATAGTGGTTTGGACCCCTTCATGCATACAAAACTAGACATATATGTTCATTAGCTCTGCAAGACTCCTGAATTAGGACAGTTCAATAATATTTTCTAGTTACAAACACACAGATAATTTTTACTCAAATCAAATGTCCTTCTTCCGGAGATACTCGCTTCTTCCTTTCCACCATAGGTGGTGCTTGCATCTTATAGCTTATCGTTTTGTTGTACTAGGGCGGTATGCGAGACCTCCAAGCAACAGCCTCAAATTTCCCACATGGTAGTGTATCACCACGTCCGAAGATGATGTTGTGCATAGTGATTTTGGGGGCTTCTTCGTTGGAATCTAATTGATGATGGTTGCAAATCGAGAAATATTTGCTGCTTCTTGCTAATCTCCTACGATACACTGGTTCATCTTTCCACAAAGGTTTTGGTGCTTGTCAGACATAAGGAGATGTGTATCTTTATCTGCTCTTACATATTGAAGAACTATGCGCCAGAATCGAGCATTATGTTGAATGCTACTTGGTCTGGTAATGAATGGTTTGATTTCTGTTGAAATTTTGTTAGGGCCTTGTTGTCAATTTTAGAGAAAAAACATGCTACTGTCACCGGTATAGGTTGTGTGATCAATATCTTGCCTACTATTTGTGATCCTGTAGTAGTGCAGGTTTCATAATGTTGTGTATTATTTAATCCTGGCTGAAGCTCGTGTACTTAAGCTGATAAAATAACAGATGCTATGCTTGGTCTGGTAAATGCATGGTTCAATTTCTGTTCATACTATGACAGGACTTTGTTCTTAATTTTGGTGGAAAATTGTGCTACTGTCTACTAGTACATGGTATTTCAGGCATAGTTCTTTTACCAAGGGAATGTGTAGATGACATGCTCTTGTTGAATAGATTGCAGAACAAATGAGTTATTATTTGTTACTTTGCGCATGTTTTATTTACATTTCTAGGACCTAAATCTTGAGAATGAAATGCTGATCATGCGAATGTGTGTAATCTGAAACCTGTATGAAATATTTGTTTGTGCATTTGTAATTTCTGTTAATATGCTATAAAATATTGTGTATTTTTTAATCATGGAATAGTTATCCATGATGGGCAAATTGAAAGAGCTAGTCACTAGCATGTAAATACCAGTAAGAGACGGCCTTCTCGTCATTCATAGCCAAGTAACAGTGCCGACATATGGGGGACAGTAGCTTTCCAGGGATACTGTTTATGATTCATGCTAAAAGCTCATGGTTTATGACAGGCTGTTTATGAGGAGGCGAAGATGAAGGACCAACCATCAAGCCGCTCGCTCATCAGGTGGCGGTGGTATGCCTACATGAATGGTTGGTCTTAGAGGCTCGAGCAATTCTTGCCAGATTGGAAGCAACTGCTAGAGGGATCATAATGCTCTCCTGGGTAAGTCTTGGTTTTCCTGGGTCATTCAAATTTCTTTGTTCTGAGCCATTTTCCTCGTTATTGCTCCGAGGGCCATATTTCTGCTCAATGAGAGCTGGGTGGGCGTCTATAGTTATATCACTAGTTGGACAAGTTTCACTTGACTAGTCATGGAACTATGTCACACATCTAGTGTTGGTGGTTTCACTTCACTGGGATACACATGAATGTAAACCTAGGATCAATTTGGGCTGAAATTGTAGTTTTAGTGTGGTTTGCTCTGGAAATGCAAACCAGCTCATACTAATGATTTTGATACTAGTTTGCTCAGCATCTGATTGATGTCATTTGTGCAGTTTGCTCCCATCTGGTTGCGTGAAGGGGGCCACGGAGAAGATACTGACTGATGGCTACCTGCTCCTCACTCGGCCAGGCCAGAGGAGCCTCTCCAGCACTCCTTGTCCAAGGTCGCCTCCTCCCGGTCCAAGGTCTCGCCGGCACAACCCCTGCACTGTGTATGGCCTCGACTACAATTTTCTCAGGTGAGCCTTTTCTTTCTCCATTCCTTCTTCCTTGTGTCCTGAACCGCTGCTTTGAGTGACGGCTATGCACGGACCTGGGCGCACCTGCTCTGCTTCTAACTTCCGAGATGATTTGTTCCTGTGTAGAGTACGGAGAGGCTGTAAATGGC